CAGTATATAAAGCAATTGACAAAGTTGAAAGACTTTTGGCCCGGAAAGCGACGCAGGCCCAGCTCGGCCAGCGTGTTGAGCTCATCCTCGAAGGTGCGCAGCTTATGGCGCGCCAAGGACTTCCAGTCATCCTCTCTGGCAACAGATCGAGACAAAGATTAAATGCAGTAACTAGAGAAGAGGCGGAGGGGACTCAGGTACCTCATGTTATGGCTGACTGTCCAGAGATTGTCGATAAAGTCACGCTTCACCTTGCGCACCTCGCACTTGTAAATGTCCTCGGACATGCCCTCCGTGTAGCGGAACATGAGGCCGCCAAAGCCCAGCAGCAGGATTAACAGAATGAAGTGAGCTATACACTGATTCCTCAGCAATCGCATCTCGGCCATGCGCACGGGATAATCCAGCTTGAGGCGCCGCCATTCGTGTGCCGCCTCCAGGCGCAGATGACCCAGCAGAGAACGCGACTTGACCGAGGCAGAGGCCGAGAGGCCCGAGCCTGTCTCTGCGGGAATCACAGTTTGAGTTTTATCCTCACGTGGCTTACTCCTGAATAAATTGCCCAGACGCTTGAGCAGAGCGGGAGGCTTCTCCACTTCGGTAAGAATGGGCAGCTCTGCCTTTGTGGCAGCCTCCATTGGAAGCTCTTCTTCATCTTGTGCAGCTATCGACTGCTGCTCCACCAGCTTGGGCCTCTCTAGGCTGGCCTCACGCTTTGTTCTCTTTGGCCGCTCCAGACTGGAGCTGCGCTTGGATTCTGGCCTGGCTTCAGGCTCGGGCGCTCTCAGGCTATTGCTGCGCTTGACCTTCTCCTGCGTGGCCGTGGCCAGACTCCTGGCCAGCGCTGCCTCCGCCGCTGCTGCGCGCTCGGCTGCCTCCACATAGGCGCGACGCAGCTCCTCGCGCTGCTGCGCCTCGCTGAGCTTCACCTTGACTGGGGAATCGACAACTGATTCGCCCACCTCCACGTATTCGGTCTTCCGGCTCAAGTGCTCCGCCTCGATGCTGCGCGGCTCCGGCGTCTTCGAGCGTCGCTGCGGACGCACGGGCGACAAGGAGCTGTTGCGGCTCACGGAGCGACGCTCCGGTGGCTTTGGTGGTGCCTGCTGCGTGGTGGGTGGTGGCGGCGGTGCTCCGCGTATGGGCGCTGCTATATAACCAGGCATGGCCATGGGCTGCGGCGTCATCTTGCGCCGCGTGAGCTGCTCCTCAGCGGTGTCCGCATCGGAGGAGCTGAACTGCGTGGAGGACTCCTCATAGCCGCTGCTCCGATTGCGCAGCCGCACCGCGGGCGCCTCGTTGCGCTGCAGGCGCAGACTCTGGACGAGGCGACGGCGCTCCTCCTCGTCCTGGGGCAGCTGAAAACTATCGCTGATCTTGCGATAGTTCTGCAGCAGACGCTTGCGCTCCTCGTGGTCCAGCTGCTGCCGATGGCGCAGCTTGTGCTCCCGCCGCTCCCGCTCGAACAGGCGCTTCTCCGCCTCGAAGCGCCGTCGCTCCTCCTCGAAGCGCAGCATATTCTGCTCCAGGCGGCTCAGCGAGTCGTCGCCAAGGCGCTGCCGCTGCTGCTGCTGCTGCTGCTGCTGCGCTCTGTGGGACTGCGAGCTGCCCGTTAGCTCGCTCTCGCTGGACTCCTCCTTGTGGCGCGGCGAGGACAGGCTGCGATGCTGCTTGATCAGCTGATGCGCATCCGGACTGCTCAGCTTCTCCGCCTCGCGCGGCTGCGATTGGCTGCGCGCCGCTGCACCCGCAAAACTTTTGTCCCGCCTGCGCAGTATTTTGCTCTCGTGCGCGGACATCGCCGAACCGGGCGGACGTATCTGCATGCAGACATGCTGTGCCCGCTCCTGATCCCGATCCCGATCCCGTTCCCAGCCGGCATCCCGCTCCAGCTGCACTGGCGGCCGGCTGTTGGCATCCGGCGTCTGCTCCCGCTGATTGCGTGGCATGCGTCGACGATGCCGCAGTTTCACAGCATTTTCCATTTTCCGTGCTCCAGTTTCTTAAATTATGCCAATTTGCTCTCTCTCTGCACTCTCTCTCTCTCTCACTCTCACTTTTGCTTTGTCTCTATACCATGGCTCTATTTTTAACATAGAGACTAGGCATTCATATTTATTTTCAACTGACCAAATGGAAAATTGCTTCAAATTGTAATTATATCACTTTTGCGTGGAAAACTCTTTGGCTTTGGCTGCTCAATAACTGAATTCACTCACAACTCTAATGCAGATATTATTTCATATTTCATTTCACATATATAGCTGATTATACATATTTCTGATATATATATATAT